CTGTAGAAAAGAAGGAATCAGAACCTATAAAAAAAAACTAGCTGATCGTATATGTCAGTACTGTAGTAAAGAATTCCGTTATCCCTCTATTCTTAAAAGACATCTGAAGTTAAAAAATATGTGTAGTAATCAGATTAGTTCAGCAAGTGATCGAGTTAGTCAAACAAGTGATCAAATTAGTCCAGCAAGTAATCAGGTTAGTCTAGTAAGTAATCAGATTAGTGAAAAAAATATGGTGCCTATTCGGCTAACATTAGTTTAGAAGTTATAGCTTCTTACATTTATGATGTTTTAATCTACAAGGATATTTAAAGTCACGCTTACAAGTTTTACAATAGCGATTAAATATATTATCTGGTCCTTCATCAGCAGTATAGTATTCTTCATCATCATTAGAACAAGATATTTCATTTTGTTCGCTAATCTTAGTGCTTTTATTGGAAGTAGATACAAGATGGCTAAGCCTTATATTCTCATTCTTAAGATTAATAACTTGCTGTTTTAATAAGATTATTTCATCCTGCATTTCTGTAATTTTCCGCATATATGTATTCTCATATTGTAAATCTACAACTTGACGACGCAATCTATGATTTTCTGATTCCATAATAGAAAGATTTTATATATTATAGTGATAGTTCAAATATTTTTTTTCGAATGAATAAAAAAAATACTGTGCCTGGAACTTTTGTTTTCTTTTGTTTTTTACTAGTGGATTTTCCCATCAAATCGAACCATTCTTCATCTGTTTTGGGTAGCTTTTTATTGGTAATAGTTGGGTTATTTTTTATTTCAGGTTTTGCTAGCCAGTTAACCAAATCATCTATAGACAAATTAGTAGTCTCGTGAGCATCTTCTCGCTCAACTATGCTAGGTCCCTTATTTTGACTAGAAGCCTCAGAAGCTTTGGTAACCACCAGAGTGTCTTGTCGCTCAACCACATTAGGATTATTCACATTTGGTCGACATTTATATTGCCTTTCATTATGCCGTTTAAGTTTCCATAATTTGGGAAAACTTTTATTGCATCTAGTACAAGTATGTTCAACCATGTTATTGCAATTGATATATAATGCTTATAAAATGTTTTTCTTTAAATATTAATTTATATCTTGTGGGTTTTATGTCTCCCAATACTATAACAGACTGCGCTCTAAGGCCCTAATGAATAGTAAATAGACTATTTAAATTTTGGTATCCTGTTCGGAATTTTGGTATCCTATTCAGAATTTTGGTACCCCATCCAGAATTTTGGTATCTATTACCCTTATATATTCAAAAATTTTGATATTCTGGTACTATTTTTTTGTCCTAG